TATCTGGATACTGTCCCCTATCTCTCTTTGAACACGAACGAATAGCAAACGAATAGCAAAACGCAAATACATAATCACGATATTATGACAATGATGTAGAATAACTCAATGTGCCATTCTAAAGGAATCAGTAGTCAGTACAGTCTAAACATAGCTAAAACATTACAAGATTACAGTCTAAACAGTAAACGTGCTATAAGTAAACGTTAGTAAAAATTAGCCCAAGTCTAATCTTTCCCTAAAACAAATAACCAAATATCAAAACTTCATTGTAATTTCTGCCAATATTTCTTGTCATAAGCTAAATTACGGAGATAATACAGACCAGAAATATTATTCATAGAAAGATTTCTAAACAGTAAACGTGCTATAACAGCATAACTGAGTACTGACACGGTACTGCAGTAGCAGTGAAATAGTAATGATCACCACTTACGGGAGACAAAAGTCAGAACTGATCACTCAATTTAAGGTACAGGTCAGTAAACTGAGTCTATGACCGGGTAAAGACTAGCTATCAGACAATTTAAGAGTGAATAACGGGGAAATATTGATCTGTGCAGAATCACAACTATGTAAATAATAAATAATTAATAGTAATACTCTAATAATACCTGGCCGAGCATGATTAGGTTCAGATGAGAGTGTTGATATATTATAAGCTATTAACAAACATTTCGCTGGTCACACTGAGAGTCGGCAATCCCCTGAATTAAACCAACTGTTGCAAAACTAAAAGTTGGCTTAAAGATTAAACATGTTAGACTAAACGATCAAGTTATCAAATATATACAGTGGATACAAGTGCTAAAACCAAGCTGTGGTGGATAAACATTACAAAATATCCAAGTTTTCAGCCGAATAGAACTGCCACCAACTCACCAACTCTCCATCTTGTTAAACAGATACTGACGATTGTTGACAGAAACGAATTTCGAAATACTGAAGATTGAGGATAGACAGTACTCGAAGCGTGTGTTAAACTGTCTAAATCAACCTTATCGACAGTAGATTTATGCAACGTGCTAACAGATAAAGAGCATACAACTACAAGGCGTACCAGCAGGTTCCAACCAGTGTAGATAACGTATGGGATAGGTTGATAACGTGGGATAAATGTATCTAGTATCCTTTGTTACTTACCTTTTAATATGACAATTACGTATAGGTACTGAAAGTCCTGAAGTGTAACTGATAAGTTGCAATTAATATCAACTTTCGATCGAGCTCAACAAAGCACACAAAACCAAGGCAATCTATGTAAGTTTGAGTGTAGGTACAGATTATAAATAGGATCGGAGTAGCGCGCAGTAAAATAGGCTGATCAGATTGGTCCATGACAGAATCACGTGATCAAATAATAAACCCTTATTGGTCGTTCGTATTATCACGTGGCCATCTTTGCGCGCTGTAATTGGCTTGTCAGAGGGAACATCTGAGAGAGCGCGCTCGAAATACTGCTATTCTTATCCTGGGCAGGTCAAAAGCCATGTGAGCGTAAACAATTAATCCTCATTTCAGTAGGACACTTAATTGTATGGGGCAGCAATTACATAATTACATAATAAGAACACATAATTACACACTTGCACTGATAGTTAACGGTGGTATTAGCGGGGTCGTCACATGGTTAGATTATTATTGTGGCTGTAGTTGCATTAAGCAGATCCACCACCAAGCTATCATTCCCAGTAGAACATCATTTGTAGGTGTTCAAAGCCCTAAACAGTCCTATCACTCGGTAAACAGACCCGCCCCAGCCTTTGTTCCCCTCAATAGCCTTTAAGGTTTGTAACCGTGATATAAAGGTTTTGCCGACATAATTTTAATGTTTTCCAAGATAGCATCTAAAAGAATTTGCAGCATCTGGCACTGGCGTTATCTTTGAAGGAAGCCTCTTTTGGCTAATAATTCGTTTTAAAATGTTAGTCTTAATGCGCCCTCATGGCCAATTTTAGCGCTAAATATTATGTCCCAGCATGGTAGTTGGTATAAATAATGAACCTCTGACTTAGCTGTGCAATGCAGTCTAAATCTGGCTAACAATCTACCAATAGATAACAAGTACCAAGTCTCTTTCCTAAGTGATCCCATTTCTTCTTCTAAAAAACTAAAACTATAGTTTAAATGATCTCAATCCTCCTCGCATCCAAAATCAGAGAGACGCTTCTTTTCTATTTCATAAATTTTTGAAGCTCATTCTTCGATATTTATGTGCTGCATTAAACTTTCCACTACATCTTTAAGGGCAATACGAAATTTCAAGCAAAACAGTCAAAGTGAAAAATATGAATATCATCCGATAGGATCTTAAAGGATCCCAACTGCACCTGCATGATTCAAGTACGATACAAATTTCATTTGCACGATACATGAACATCCTACTAGTACTTGACATATTGGTCAAAGAAATTCATTGCCATTTACTAGAAATGCAGCCAGATATGTTTAAACTTCGATCTTGCAATGTTTCGTAATGACAAATCATACACAACCAAATGAAATCATGAGAAGAAGCATAACAACGGAGCTAAAAAAGGAAATGATTTCCAAAAATAAAAAGATTTTCCTGATAAATAACAAGTTGGTGACATGTGCATTTCTACCCAAATACATCAGTAACAGTAACTCATCTGCAATTGATATCAAAATACACATATATTTATATAAATACACATATAAATAAGTTTAAAGTTGAATTAATTAGGTGGTTAGTTAAAAGAAATCATAATAATGATAATTTTAAGGCATCTCTAGTGGGGATTGTCAAGATTTGTTCGCCGCTGTGACGCTGTTTTACTGCTCTTTAGCAGATTTTATCCCCTCAACCGGTTCCCATAACATAGGGTTCTATTTATTTAATTAGTCAACTGTTGATATAAGAAAGAAGAAGCACGGAACTAAAGCGAAACTTGTTATCTTTAAAACGCCGCACCGCGACAGCAGACAGCTCATTGATTCCATGATGTCAATGAGAAATACGTGTCGTATTTCTCGATTATTTGAATTGCTCACCCAAAGAAAAGAAACCCATTAGGAGAGGAATGGATTTCTACCCTTTTGACTAGTGTGTGCTAATGTTTGTGGTTTATGTCATTATTGCCTGTGGTTTGCAATTTGCATTGCTTTTCATTGTAATCAGTTAAGTGCAGGCCCAGTTACCTCTGCTCCCTTCATCCAAACTAATTTTTTGAAGTTTTTTGTCGCGGTCATCCGATGGCGGTCCGGTGATGACTTCATTGATAAATATAATTTCACCCGTGGCTGACCACATTTATATGAGATATTATTAGCTTATAATTAGATTATAATTGTATTTTTGAAAGGCACCTTACCTGCGAAAACTTGAGTAAAAGAGAAAAGAATTCGTATAGAAGAAAATTATAAAAGTACAAAGTTGGCGAGCTGCTGAAGACCAAGAAACGAGAATCTAAAATCATATCATGTTTAAAAACGAACTTAAGCTGTAGCCTGTCATATAAAGCGGCCTGTCATTCCGCCATATCTTCAATCTTATGAACACAAAAGCTTGAAGTTGAGGTCAAGTGAAAGTTTAGAACTTTTGACAAACTCAGCAAATCACTAGATAGATTACACGTTCAATGCTTTGACGGCTGCGGTTTTCCAGTATTATGTCCTTGTAATTTTCCTATGCCGTTTTAATCGGACTCTTCACCACAAATATAATATTCTTAACTAATTTTTTGCTTTCATCATTACATTATCAGTCAAAATTGTGGGGTAATTTGGGATCTTCATTTAAACAATCACATTTTTGTCGTGATTTAGGGCGTAAGCTATAATTATTATAGTCACATAAGCAGGCTAATACACATTGCTAGGATTAAAACGTGACTTTAACTACTTTTGCAAAATAAACAAAACAAATTCTTTTAAAACATGCTCCCCCCACCCTCTTATTTCAACCCCATATACAAAATTCGGCATAAATGTCTTGCCGACTAAGTAGTAGCACACGTTTAGTAGAGGATCAGTCACGTTGAGAAGGTAAACTTCTCCGTCACCTTCATCTGTCGCTGCTTTCAACGGTAATATCAATCTCAGCTTTGTTGGCAACATTTATTATACCTATACGATAAAACTTTATTGTTTTATTTACTAATGCATCACATACTTAAATGAAGTTTAGAAATACCCACACCGAGAAAAAGTCACTCGAACGAACCCATGAAATTGCTCCTTTATGGATACTATAATTGTTACAAATAGACACAATTTTTCTATTTTTCGTGTCTGATAGTACCTAAATCTCAAAGGTGTCGGAGGAGAATCCAAAACGTCTGGAATGTGGTAGGAATTTGTTCCAATAGTGGGCAGAATTATATGGTAAATATAATTTATGATTTTGACCCTTTGCCGACTAATATTTATCCGATTAGCGACCACAGGATTAAACTGGATTAAACATTTCGAAGTCTTGTTGCAGCAATTGTAATATGTCAGATTGAAAATCAGTGAGTTATTAGGAAATAGGAGAGTTTTATGAGAAAGAATAATAAATTGACGGAAATTCCCGAATCCCGAGGCAAAGTTGAAATGTTTATTTTCTTATCATTCTTTTCTAACCTTAAGGTTTAAAACCACACAGACATGATCTGGTTAATATAATCAAGAGGCTTGCATATGAACATAATGTCATAATAATTTTTAAATGATTTCATCGCGTTTTTTTTTTGTTTTTTGCAAGTGCAGAGTCGACTATAAACTACTCAGTAGGATATTAGGGATTCGGGAATCATATTTGGAAAAATCAAAAAGGCACCTTTCAATCAAGCATGATTTTAAAGTTTTTACAAGTGGATGTGATTACCATTTCACATTAATTGGCTGCACTCCGATCACCAGAACAAAACAGTTTACCTCATTTTACTTCATATGTGGAAGATTCTCCATCGGCATCACCATACCAGCAACGACATTGACGTGCAGTTTGTCTCCAGGCAACGTTTTGGAAACATAGGTAGGTGACCTACTATACAGGGAGTACATTATACATTCTGAACAAATATCGTATCATATGACCCTCATGAGGCTTTCTCCTTAGACAACACTGACATGTTACACTATATTTACAGGTCTCATTCATTTGTTGTACACAGATGTACAATTGTAAAATTTACCGTCTATAATTTGCTTGAACACTTTTTGCTAGAGTGCCTACTTTCTTAGACTCCGAGAGTCACTCTCTATTCTCTATTCGTGCACTCTGAGTAGAGTAGTATGGCGGGAGGTTTGGTAAAGAAGCTAGGAATCGCTGCAGCTGGATGGGCGGCCCTATTCAGTCTTATTTCAACTTGTATATTGTTTCATCCGGACGCTTGGGCTACCGAAATGGTAAAATATCCCATGGCTCATATCTCACAAGCCACATGATCAAATCCCACAAGTCAGATGATATTTTATTCTTAAACGACATTATATTCCAGGCTGTGGCAGTGGAGCGCAAAATGTCTATTCTTCAAAATTATATTTTTCGAATGATTAAAACAGTTATATTTCTTTTAAAAATATTTGTATACAGAACATACAATGTATTTAATTGGATATAATATAAAATACTAAAAATAACAATATCCTCCGCAGACGTTACTCGCGTGCTTGTTTACAGGTCTGAGCGGAGCTATCCGACTAGTTGATCACCTGAACGATATCAGTAAGTACGATATCAGTAAGTAGGATATCATTAAGTACGATATCAGTAAGTACGATATCAGTAAGAACGATATCAGTATTCAGTAAATATGATATCAGTAAGTACGATATCAGTAAGTACGATGTCAGTAAGTACGGTATCAGTAAGTACGGTATCAGTAAGTACGGTATCAGTAAGTACGGTATCAGTAAATACGGTATCAGTAAGTACGGTATCAGTAAGTAAGATATCAGTAAGTACGGTATCAGTAAGCACGGTATCAGTAAGTACGGTATCAGTAAGTACGGTATCAGTAAGTACGATGTCAGTAAGTACGGTATCAGTAAGTAGGATATCAGTAAGTACGGTATCAGTAAGTAAGATATCAGTAAGTACGGTATCAGTAAGTACGGTATCAGTAAGTACGGTATCAGTAAGTACGGTATCAGTAAGTACGGTATCAGTAAGTACGGTATCAGTAAGTACGGTATCAGTAAGTAAGATATCAGTAAGTACGGTATCAGTAAGCACGGTATCAGTAAGTACGGTATCAGTAAGTACGGTATCAGTAAGTACGATGTCAGTAAGTACGGTATCAGTAAGTAGGATATCAGTAAGTACGGTATCAGTAAGTAAGATATCAGTAAGTACGGTATCAGTAAGTACGGTATCAGTAAGTAAGATATCAGTAAGTACGGTATCAGTAAGTAGGATATCAGTAAGTACGGTATCAGTAAGTAGGATATCAGTAAGTACGGTATCAGTAAGTACGGTATCAGTAAGTACGATATCAGTAAGTACGATGTCAGTAAGTACAGTATCAGTAAGTAGGATATCACTAAGTACGGTATCAGTAAGTAGGATATCAGTAAGTACGATATCAGTAAGTACGGTATCAGTAAGTACGGTGTCAGTAAGTACGGTATCAGTAAGTAAGATATCAGTAAGTACGGTATCAGTAAGTAGGATATCAGTAAGTACTGTATCAGTAAGTACGGTATCAGTAAGTAAGATATCAGTAATTCAGTAAGTACGGTATCAGTAAGTAGGATATCAGTAAGTACGGTATCAGTAAGTACAATATCAGTAAGTACGATATCAGTAAGTACGATGTCAGTAAGTACGGTATCAGTAAGTAAGATATCATTAAGTACGATATCAGTAAGTACGATGTCAGTAAGTACGGTATCAGTAAGTACGATGTCAGTAAGTACGGTATCAGTAAGTACGGTATCAGTAAGTACGGTATCAGTAAGTAAGATATCAGTAAGTACGGTATCAGTAAGTACGGTATCAATAAGTACGGTATCAGTAAGTAAGATATCAGTAAGTACGGTATCATTAAGTACGATATCAGTAAGTACGGTATCAGTAAGTACGATATCAGTAAGTACGGTATCAGTAAGTACGGTATCAGTAAGTACGATATCAGTAAGTACGGTATCAGTAAGTAGGATATCAGTAAGTACGGTATCAGTAAGTACGGTATCAGTAAGTAAGATATCATTAAGTACGATATCAGTTAGTACGATGTCAGTAAGTACGGTATCAGTAAGTACGATGTCAGTAAGTACGGTATCAATAAGTACGGTATCAGTAAGTACGGTATCAGTAAGTAAGATATCAGTAAGTACGGTATCAGTAAATACGGTATCAGTAAGTAAGATATCAGTAAGTACGGTATCATTAAGTACGATATCAGTAAGTAAGATATCAGTAAGTACGGTATCAGTAAGTACGGTATCAGTAAGTACGGTATCAGTAAGTAAGATATCAGTAAGTACGATATCAGTAAGTAAGATATCAGTAAGTAAGATATCAGTAAGTACGGTATCAGTAAGTACGGTATCAGTAAGTAAGATATCAGTAAGTAGGATATCAGTAAGTACGATATCAGTAAGTACGATGTCAGTAAGTACGATATCAGTAAATACGATGTCAGTAAGTACGATATCAGTAAGTACGGTATCAGTAAGTAGGATATCAGTAAGTACGGTATCAGTAAGTACGATATCAGTAAGTACGGTATCAGTAAGTACGGTATCAGTAAGTACGATATCAGTAAGTACGGTATCAGTAAGTAGGATATCAGTAAGTACAGTATCAGTAAGTACGGTATCAGTAAGTACGATATCAGTAAGTACGATGTCAGTAAGTACGGTATCAGTAAGTAAGATATCATTAAGTAAGATATCAGTAAGTAGGATATCAGTAAGTACGGTATCAGTAAGTACGGTATCAGTAAGTACGATGTCAGAAAGTAGGATATCAGTAAGTACGGTATCAGTAAGTAAGATATCAGTAAGTATGGTATCAGAAAGTACGATATCAGTAAGTACGGTATCAGTAAGTACGATATCAGTAAGTACGGTATCAGTAAGTACGGTATCAGTAAGTACGATATCAGTAAGTACGGTATCAGTAAGTACGATGTCAGTAAGTACGGTATCAGTAAGTACGATGTCAGTAAGTACGGTATCAGTAAGTACGGTATCAGTAAGTACGATATCAGTAAGTACGGTATCAGTAAGTAAGATATCAGTAAGTATGGTATCAGTAAGTACGATGTCAGTAAGTACGGTATCAGTAAGTAAGATATTATCAAGTACGGTATCAGTAAGTACGGTATCAGTAAGTACGCGTACGGTATCAGTAAGTACGGTATCAGTAAGTAAGATATCAGTAAGTACGGTATCAGTAAGTACGATGTCAGTAAGTACGGTATCAGTAAGTAAGATATTATCAAGTACGGTATCAGTAAGTACGGTATCAGTAAGTACGGTGTCAGTAAGTACGGTATCAGTAAGTAAGATATCAGTAAGTATGGTATCAGAAAGTACGATATCAGTAAGTACGGTATCAGTAAGTACGATATCAGTAAGTACGATGTCAGTAAGTACGGTATCAGTAAGTAAGATATCATTAAGTACGATATCAGTAAGTACGGTATCAGTAAGTACGGTATCAGTAAGTACGGTATCAGTAAGTACGGTATCAGTAAGTAAGATATCAGTAAGTACGGTATCAGTAAGTAGGATATCAGTAAGTACGGTATCAGTAAGTACGATGTCAGTAAGTAGGATATCAGTAAGTACGGTATCAGTAAGTAAGATATCAGTAAGTACGGTATCAGTAAGTACGGTATCAGTAAGTAAGATATCAGTAAGTACGGTATCATTAAGTACGATATCAGTGAGTTAGATATCAGTAAGTACGGTATCAGTAAGTACGGTATCAGTAAGTACGGTATCAGTAAGTAAGATATCAGTAAGTACGATATCAGTAAGTAAGATATCAGTAAGTAAGATATCAGTAAGTACGGTATCAGTAAGTACGGTATCAGTTAGTAAGATATCAGTAAGTACGATATCAGTAAATACGGTATCAGTAAGTACGATATCAGTAAGTACGATGTCAGTAAGTACGATATCAGTAAGTACGATGTCAGTAAGTACGATATCAGTAAGTACGGTATCAGTAAGTACGATGTCAGTAAGTACGATGTCAGTAAGTACGATATCAGTAAGTAAGATATCAGTAAGTAAGATATCAGTAAGTACGGTATCAGTAAGTACGGTATCAGTAAGTAAGATATCAGTAAGTACGATATCAGTAAGTACGGTATCAGTAAGTACGGTATCAGTAAGTACGGTATCAGTAAGTACGATATCAGTAAGTACGATGTCAGTAAGTACGGTATCAGTAAGTACGGTATCAGTAAGTACGGTATCAGTAAGTACGGTATCAGTAAGTACGGTATCAGTAAGTACGATATCAGTAAGTACGGTATCAGTAAGTACGGTATCAGTAAGCAATATATCAGTAAGTACGGTATCAGTAAGTACGATGTCAGTAAGTAGGATACCATTGAGTACGGTATCAGTAAGTACGATGTCAGTAAGTACGATGTCAGTAAGTACGATATCAGTAAGTACGATGTCAGTAAGTACGATATCAGTAAGTATTCGAATTTCCAACATTTTATTGGAAACTATGTATATTACGTAACTTAAAAGTTTATATTTATTCTAATAAGGCGGACTTGGCAATTGGCCAAAAAGCTTTTGACTGCGAACAAATATTGGATGTGATTAATATTCGAACACGAATAACAATGTTTTCCCTTGCAGATAAAATCACGCTTGATATTCTTAGAAACAGTGAGTGAAACAATTACTTTTGGATTTAAGATATAATACATTTCTTTAATTACATATTTTGTTGACTAAAACATACTTGACTACATAATATAACATTTCAATTTGTAAGAAATTTTAAATGAGTAACTAAATTTCGTTATTGAACTAGGTAAAAAGTGGGTGTTCAGACTAGTCTGTATTACAGCAATATCTGGAGGTAAGTCCCAACAATATCACGTGACCTCACCCCTGTATTACAGCAATATCTGGAGGTAAGTCCCAATAATATCACGTGACCTCACCCCTGTATTACAGCAATATCTGGAGGTAAGTCCCAACAATATCACGTGACCTCACCCCTGTATTACAGCAATATCTGGAGGTAAGTCCCAACAATATCACGTGACCTCACCCCTGTATTACAGCAATATCTGGAGGTAAGTCCCAATAATATCACGTGACCTCACCCCTGTATTACAGCAATATCTGGAGGTAAGTCCCAATAATATCACGTGACCTCACCCCTGTATTACAGCAATATCTGGAGGTAAGTCCCAATAATATCACGTGACCTCACCCCTGTATTACAGCAATATCTGGAGGTAAGTCCCAATAATATCACGTGACCTCACCCCTGTATTACAGCAATATCTGGAGGTAAGTCCCAATAATATCACGTGACCTCACCCCTGTATTACAGCAATATCTGGAGGTAAGTCCCAATAATATCACGTGACCTCACCCCTGTATTACAGCAATATCTGGAGGTAAGTCCCAATAATATCACGTGACCTCACCCCTGTATTACAGCAATATCTGGAGGTAAGTCCCAATAATATCACGTGACCTCACCCCTGTATTACAGCAATATCTGGAGGTAAGTCCCAATAATAATATCACGTGACCTCACCCCTGTATTACAGCAATATCTGGAGGTAAGTCCCAATAATATCACGTGACCTCACCCCTGTATTACAGCAATATCTGGAGGTAAGTCCCAATAATATCACGTGACCTCACCCCTGTATTACAGCAATATCTGGAGGTAAGTCCCAATAACAATATCACGTGACCTCACCCCTGTATTACAGCAATATCTGGAGGTAAGTCCCAATAATATCACGTGACCTCACCCCTGTATTACAGCAATATCTGGAGGTAAGTCCCAATAATATCACGTGACCTCACCCCTGTATTACAGCAATATCTGGAGGTAAGTCCCAATAATAATATCACGTGACCTCACCCCTGTATTACAGCAATATCTGGAGGTAAGTCCCAATAATATCACGTGACCTCACCCCTGTATTACAGCAATATCTGGAGGTAAGTCCCAATAATATCACGTGACCTCACCCCTGTATTACAGCAATATCTGGAGGTAAGTCCCAATAATATCACGTGACCTCACCAGTGGCGTAACGTTCCCTGTTGCCCCCCCCCCCCTGAAAAAGCGCCCCCATGTTAGCCCCCCCCCCCCCCCCCTGCGGGGTCGGCGCCACTGAACCTCACCCACAACTTGTAGCCTTTTATTAGCAAGTTAGAAACCGTAACTAAAACATCCGGAGAATAGGTTAATCTCCGGTTGGTATTATTCAATAACTGCAACATTTTTATGCAAGTACAGAAACCACGATTGTGGTTTAATTTGATAGTGTCACAATTCAATAATTCATTATTGTGCCCTGTTTTATTTCGATGACGAATTTATTTCCAGAACAATAATTTTCTCAGGAGTTGTTGCTCTTATCGGTTTTATCGGGTACACGGCAGAAATTTCCGACGACCCAACACTGATGAGTCACAGACGGATGGCTGCATCTTATACATGCCTGGCCATGTCACTGCCCGGCCATATCCAGAATATAGCCGTAGGTTTTATTCAGGTCAGAGCAATATGATTTACATCTTAAAGACATCCCGGCGACGATAGTCAGTTAATTTTTGAGTATTTTATTTAAGTTGTAAAGTGTGTTTTAGTGAGTTGTATGAAATTAAAGACTTGGCAAAGTGCAACAAGGGTTTACACAGTGTTAGGGTTTTTAATTTATTCATTTCTGTTGTATGATCTTGTTTGATGATATGATGGTTGGGCTGCTCCGAATATAACGAATAGTTATGGAGTCGCGTGTTGATTTAGCTTAGACTGATTTTAATTAATTTTAACAAGATGATATCTATTTTAAGTGAAGTGTAATGCGAATGAGCAAAGAAAAACAAACGATTTTTAAAAGATCTCCAATCTACACGTCATTATACTTATAGCAGCAATAAATCTGCAAACTTTCATTTGTAAAAATTACTTAAACTACTGTTCCAATTAAAAATTGTCCTTTATTTTATTGGGTGGGCGACAATTGACCCCCCAACAATTGACCCCCGACAATTGACCCCCCGAAAATTGACCCCCCGACAATTGACCCCCCGACAATTGACCCCCGACAATTGACCCCCCGACAATTGACCCCCCGACAATTGACCCCCCGACAATGTAATTTAATACAATTAACCCTGACCCTGACCCTGACCCTGACCCTGACCCTGACCCTGACCCTGACCCTGACCCTGACCCTGACCCTGACCCTGACCCTGACCCTGACCCTGACCCTGACCCTGACCCTGACCCTGACCCTGACCCTGACCCTGACCCTGACCCTGACCCTGACCCTGACCCTGACCCTGACCCTGACCCTGACCCTGACCCTGACCCTGACCCTGACCCTGACCCTGACCCTGACCCTGACCCTGACCCTGACCCTGACCCTGACCCTGACCCTGACCCTGACCCTGACCCTGACCCTGACCCTGACCCTGACCCTGACCCTGACCCTGACCCTGACCCTGACCCTGACCCTGACCCTGACCCTGACCCTGACCCTGACCCTGACCCTGACCCTGACCCTGACCCTGACCCTGACCCTGACCCTGACCCTGACCCTGACCCTGACCCTGACCCTGACCCTGACCCTGACCCTGACCCTGACCCTGACCCTGACCCTGACCCTGACCCTGACCCTGACCCTGACCCTGACCCTGACCCTGACCCTGACCCTGACCCTGACCCTGACCCTGACCCTGACCCTGACCCTGACCCTGACCCTGACCCTGACCCTGACCCTGACCCTGACCCTGACCCTGACCCTGACCCTGACCCTGACCCTGACCCTGACCCTGACCCTGACCCTGACCCTGACCCTGACCCTGACCCTGACCCTGACCCTGACCCTGACCCTGACCCAGGATCCAGGACCCAGGATCCAGGACCCAGGACCCAGGACCCAGGACCCAGGACCCAGGACCCAGGACCCAGGACCCAGGACCCAGGACCCAGGACCCAGGACCCAGGACCCAGGACCCAGGACCCAGGACCCAGGACCCAGGACCCAGGACCCAGGACCCAGGACCCAGGACCCAGTAACCAGGACCCAGGACCCAGGACCCAGGACCCAGGACCCAGGACCCAGGACCCAGGACCCAGGACCCAGGACCCAGGACCCAGGACCCAGGACCCAGGACCCAGGACCCAGGACCCAGGACCCAGGACCCAGGACCCAGGACCCAGGACCCTGACCCTCAGACCCTAACCCGATCAATTGACCCCAGTGTAATTACATGGGGGTCAATTGTCGGGGGGTCAATTGTCGGGGGTCAATTGTCGTAGTAAGTCTTAGATTTCGCGACAATTGACCCCAGTGTGATTACATAGGGTGTCAATTGTCGGGGGGTTAATTGTCGGAGGATCAATTTTGACCCTGACCCTGACCCTGACCCTGACCCTGACCCTGACCCTGACCCTGACCCTGACCCTGACCCTGACCCTGACCCTGACCCTGACCCTGACCCTGACCCTGACCCTGACCCTGACCCTGACCCTGACCCTGACCCTGACCCTGACCCTGACCCTGACCCTGACCCTGACCCTGACCCTGACCCTGACCCTGACCCTGACCCTGACCCTGACCCTGACCCTGACCCTGACCCTGACCCTGACCCTGACCCTGACCCTGACCCTGACCCTGACCCTGACCCTGACCCTGACCCTGACCCTGACCCTGACCCTGACCCTGACCCTGACCCTGACCCTGACCCTGACCCTGACCCTGACCCTGACCCTGACCCTGACCCTGACCCTGACCCTGACCCTGACCCTGACCCTGACCCTGACCCTGACCCAGGATCCAGGACCCAGGATCCAGGACCCAGGACCCAGGACCCAGGACCCAGGACCCAGGACCCAGGACCCAGGACCCAGGACCCAGGACCCAGGACCCAGGACCCAGGACCCAGGACCCAGGACCCAGGACCCAGGACCCAGGACCCAGGACCCAGGACCCAGGACCCAGGACCCAGGACCCAGTAACCAGGACCCAGGACCCAGGACCCAGGACCCAGGACCCAGGACCCAGGACCCAGGACCCAGGACCCAGTAACCAGGACCCAGGACCCAGGACCCAGGACCCAGGACCCAGGACCCAGGACCCAGGACCCAGGACCCAGGACCCAGGACCCAGGACCCAGGACCCAGGACCCAGGACCCAGGACCCAGGACCCAGGACCCAGGACCCAGGACCCAGGACCCTGACCCTCAGACCCTAACCCGATCAATTGACCCCAGTGTAATTACATGGGGGTCAATTGTCGGGGGGTCAATTGTCGGGGGTCAATTGTCGTAGTAAGTCTTAGATTTCGCGACAATTGACCCCAGTGTGATTACATAGGGTGTCAATTGTCGGGGGGTTAATTGTCGGAGGTTCAATTTTGACCCTGACCCTGACCCTGACCCTGACCCTGACCCTGACCCTGACCCTGACCCTGACCCTGACCCTGACCCTGACCCTGACCCTGACCCTGACCCTGACCCTGACCCTGACCCTGACCCTGACCCTGACCCTGACCCTGACCCTGACCCTGACCCTGACCCTGACCCTGACCCTGACCCTGACCCTGACCCTGACCCAGGATCCAGGACCCAGGATCCCTGACCCTGACCCAGGATCCAGGACCCAGGATCCAGGACCCAGGACCCAGGACCCAGGACCCAGGACCCAGGACCCAGGACCCAGGACCCAGGACCCAGGACCCAGGACCCAGGACCCAGGACCCAGGACCCAGGACCCAGGACCCAGGACCCAGGACCCAGGACCCAGGACCCAGGACCCAGGACCCAGGACCCAGGACCCAGGACCCAGTAACCAGGACCCAGGACCCAGGACCCAGGACCCAGGACCCAGGACCCAGGACCCAGGACCCAGGACCCAGGACCCAGGACCCAGGACCCAGGACCCAGGACCCAGGACCCAGGACCCAGGACCCAGGACCCTGACCCTCAGACCCTAACCCGATCAATTGACCCCAGTGTAATTACATGGGGGTCAATTGTCGGGGGGTCAATTGTCGGGGGTCAATTGTCGTAGTAAGTCTTAGATTTCGCGACAATTGACCCCAGTGTGATTACATAGGGTGTCAATTGTCGGGGGGTTAATTGTCGGAGGTTCAATTTTGACCCTGACCCTGACCCTGACCCTGACCCTGACCCTGACCCTGACCCTGACCCTGACCCTGACCCTGACCCTGACCCTGACCCTGACCCTGACCCTGACCCTGACCCTGACCCTGACCCTGACCCTGACCCTGACCCTGACCCTGACCCTGACCCTGACCCTGACCCTGACCCTGACCCTGACCCTGACCCTGACCCTGACCCTGACCCTGACCCAGGATCCAGGACCCAGGATCCAGGACCCTGACCCTGACCCTGACCCTGACCCTGACCCTGACCCTGACCCTGACCCTGACCCTGACCCTGACCCTGACCCTGACCCTGACCCTGACCCTGACCCTGACCCTGACCCTGACCCTGACCCTGACCCTGACCCTGACCCTGACCCTGACCCTGACCCTGACCCTGACCCTGACCCTGACCCTGACCCTGACCCTGACCCTGACCCTGACCCTGACCCTGACCCTGACCCTGACCCTGACCCTGACCCTGACCCTGACCCTGACCCTGACCCTGACCCTGACCCTGACCCTGACCCTGACCCTGACCCTGACCCAGGATCCAGGACCCAGGATCCAGGACCCTGACCCTGACCCTGACCCTGACCCTGACCCTGACCCTGACCCTGACCCTGACCCTGACCCTGACCCTGACCCTGACCCTGACCCTGACCCTGACCCTGACCCTGACCCTGACCCTGACCCTGACCCTGACCCTGACCCTGACCCTGACCCTGACCCTGACCCTGACCCTGACCCTGACCCTGACCCTGACCCTGACCCTGACCCTGACCCTGACCCTGACCCTGACCCTGACCCTGACCCTGACCCTGACCCTGACCCTGACCCTAACCCTGACCCTGACCCTGACCCTGACCCTGACCCTGACCCTGACCCTGACCCTGACCCTGACCCTGACCCAGGATCCAGGACCCAGGATCCAGGACCCAGGACCCAGGACCCAGGACCCAGGACCCAGGACCCAGGACCCAGGACCCAGGACCCAGGACCCAGGACCCAGGACCCAGGACCCAGGACCCAGGACCCAGGACCCAGGACCCAGGACCCAGGACCCAGGACCCAGGACCCAGGACCCAGGACCCAGGACCCAGGACCCAGGACCCAGGACCCAGGACCCAGGACCCAGGACCCAGGACCCAGGACCCAGGACCCAGGACCCAGGACCCAGGACCCAGGACCCAGGACCCAGGACCCAGGACCCAGGACCCAGGACCCAGGACCCAGGACCCAGGACCCAGGACCCAGGACCCAGGACCCAGGACCCAGGACCCAGGACCCAGGACCCAGGACCCAGGACCCAGGACCCAGGACCCAGGACCCAGGACCCAGGACCCAGGACCCAGGACCCAGGACCCAGGACCCAGGACCCAGGACCCAGGACCCAGGACCCAGGACCCAGGACCCAGGACCCAGGACCCAGGACCCAGGATCCAGGACCCTGACCCTGACCCTCAGACCCTAACCCGATCAATTGACCCCAGTGTAATTACATGGGGGTCAATTGTCGGGGGGTCAATTGTCGGGGGTCAATTGTCGTACTAAGTCTTAGATTTCGCGACAATTGACCCCATTGTGATTACATAAGTACATAGGGTGTCAATTGTCGGGGGGTTAATTGTCGGAGGTTCAATTTTCGGCGGGTCAATTGTCGTACTAAACCCTAGATTTCGCGACAATTGACCCCAGTGTAATTACATAGGGGGTCAATAATTGTCGGGGGTCAATTGTCGCGGTACCATTTCGGGTAAGTCTATTATAACTGTCTCGGTGCTGTATTCCCCTGGCATTGTGTGTCTTCCAGGCCGAAATCTGCCGAAATATATGGCAGATTTAGCCGAGTTTTTCATCTGTGGCATATGACTTAATTCTATCAACAATAATATTGCACCAGACAATGACTTCTTATTAAAGTAGCATATATAACAGCACAAATTGGCTTTTCTGCCTAATTACCGCCATTACCAGTGAGTTTGTTCATGCTGCCCAAATTTTAGATTAAATCTTTGGATCACCCTATAACCATGCTAGCCGACAAACCGGTGTGTCAAGATCCTCGGTTGACAGTAATCACCAGACTTTTATAATTATAAAGGAGCACAAGAAAGCCTTGATCCCCACGTGCCATGACAAGGCTTTAGTATAATTCTGTTTTTCTAGCTCACTTCATTTCACACCTGCCATACCTGCCACCAATAAACGCAAGGATTACAGATCATGCTCGCTTATAATTATTGCTGATTGTAGTTTAAATTTCCAGTGGAAATTTTACTGTTCCTTCATTCATGAGTTTTATTAGGTAATTGCTACAAAAGTCCAGTTTAAAAGTTTATATATGAATTAAGTGGATTTCCGTTAATTCATCTTCAGTTTCACGAGTACTATTAAATATCTATAAGTCAAATTCTGCCTGCTTTGACTCATCGAACTACATGCAATCAAATCCCTCTGCAGAAACGTGTTTGGAATTCCAATAATTTGTCTCTCGAATAGAGTTGGATACAGCATTTTTATTATACTTATATAAATATAATTTCTTCATAAAACACATGAACGTCCAGGAATCATACGCCTCATATATAATATGTGCAGTAATCGTGCACCTTAGCAACAGAACTGTGAACAATCTACGCTTGTATCACAGTATTATATAAGGTGAAGTTTGCACGTGGTAGGATGAACTTTGCACGTGTTGTTAAAAGTGGAGGATCCTTACTTTGCAATGTGGTTGCAAATTCCGATTGCAACATATAATTCGTTAAAAGGTTTTTGTTTTATATATGTTTACTATGATATTCCGGGATCCAATATTTTAATTTTTCTTGGGATCGCAAGAATTCATTATTGATAATTATACGCGTGTACTTGTTTCGTTGTACACAGTTATATGTAGCTCATAAATTGTGATATCTCAAAAGGCCCGAACTAAAAAGGTTTTAGTGTTTGAGAACAGGAAATGCAGTAATATAACTGAACTATACAGTATGTAGGTGAAATTTAAAGGGTATTAAAACGTCAAACCCCCACAATCCACCATTGTTTGAACACCAACTGTCAATCCTACTCTCCTACATCCGGCTGGCCGGTCTAAGAACACGTTGGCGCGTGTCCTGCACACACTCCCTCAAGAAAAAGAGCGTGCTATTAAGTTTTGACAGGTATATTGCACGTGTGTCCATCTCCACGTGCAACTAGGATATTAGAGGACTAACACGCTGGTGTTAGGTTAAGAGAATCCCAAATCAACCAATAACTTGGAGTTGAATCTGTTCTTGCTTGCTTAAAATTTGCCTGCGTTATCACTTTATCACTTTATCACATATAATAATACAATATAAAGATATAACATCATGGTGGACTTGTTCGTATCATGGTCGCTGCTGTGTGTCTTTAAATTTAAAGCCGAGATTAGCAGATTCGATTATACTTTATTAGTCTGTTACTCTTTTGGTGGAACGGACCGTTAAAAACAAGAGCCATTTCCATTCTGCCTGCACAAATCTTCTAATTATAGTGCTTGTAATTTGTTCTCGACAATTAATGTGTTCTTGACAATTAATGTGTTCTTGACGTACAATTGTCTCTGATCAGTTATAATTTGTATATATCACTGAATCACTCTCATCCTCAAAAGTTGAGAGCTAAGCCTGAAACTATTACCAGACGTGCATACTGCAAAATGTTGGAAGACGAAGCCTCATCAGCATTTACCAGAGTGGTCAAGAAACCAAAAGTGTCAAAAGGCAAGACAAGTGCAGTCAAACCGTACGTCTGCAATCAGCCCGGATGCTTCAAGAGCTTCAGTCAACTCGGATACTTGCAGGTTAGGTTCACAAAATAATATTCTCCATTCTTTATCATTTTCGTGTTTGTGGCTTCGTAAAAAATCTAGATTACCTTCAACTGGTAACTTTAGTATGGTTTGTGTTTAGAACAGACCCTTTTGGCACAACCTTTGGATCGTCAAATCGTCAATTGAAGAATCAGGATTCAAGGATGGGCTGCAGGCTTACTGCGTCTCGGCTTCCGTAGCTTCGATGAAATCATGTAAAAAAATAGACTATTCCTTTATATGAGTTGATAAAAAATCCAGTAGGAATTTGGGAGTTTGGGAAACAAAGATGTCATGGCATTCGACTCAAGTCATGCAGATTACATGTATTTATCGTGAAACAACTTAAAATACAGGGTGTACTGCATAAAGTGTGACTTTCTTCCACTTTAATACTTTAATAGTTCGACACCTATATAAGTGACACAATGTGATGAAGAGTTTTTAGCAATTACTGCTCCTTCATAATATTTTGTATCATTTCTCAAAAAAGTCACACTTTCTGTGGTACACCCTGCAGTAGACTGTAGTAGAGCTGTATAAATTACTTGTATAAACCATTCGACTCAAGTCATGCAGATTATATGTATTTATCGTGAAACAACTAGTTACCTGTATAAACCCTGTCAGGCCCACCTGTACACTCACTCAGAAGGCCCACTCTACCAGTGCAGATGGAACAACCAGTGTGGCAGGCGCTTCTCAGACCTCGGTTAGTTAGCTTGTCTTGTGGTTTACTTTGTCTATTCTTCTCCAAAGGGATTTATCATAGTATACAATCTGGAGGAGTTTAGGATCAGGTGAGAAGGATACCTGAGCCCTGAGGCACAACTGATTTGTTTCTCATCTTCAGCTTAAAATATATGGACGTGTGAAAAGGTTAAACACCTCTTGCTGTATAAATGGAGTGACTGATAAAGTGATAATACAATGTGATACAGTTTCATAATCCTTGTTCAGGTAACTTGAAGAAGCACATGTTGACTCACACTGGAGAGAGACCCTACAGTTGCGACTGTTTCATAATCCTTGTTCAGGTAACTTGAAGAAGCACATGTTGACTCACACTGGAGAGAGACCCTACAGTTGCGACTGTTTCATAATCCTTGTTCAGGTAACCTGAAGAAGCACATGTTGACTCACACTGGAGAGAGACCCTACAGTTGCGACTAATAATCCTTGTTCAGGTAACTTGAAGAAGCACATGTTGACTCACACTGGAGAGAGACCCTACAGTTGCGACTGAATAATCCTTGTTCAGGTAACCTGAAGAAGCACATGTTGACTCACACTGGAGAGAGACCCTACAGTTGCGACTGAATAATCCTTGTTCAGGTAACTTGAAGAAGCACATGTTGACTCACACTGGAGAGAGACCCTACAGTTGCGACTGTTTCATAATCCTTGTTCAGGTAACTTGAAGAAGCACATGTTGACTCACACTGGAGAGAGACCCTACAGTTGCGACTGTTTCATAATCCTTGTTCAGGTAACTTGAAGAAGCACATGTTGACTCACACTGGAGAGAGACCCTACAGTTGCGACTGTTTCATAATCCTTGTTCAGGTAACTTGAAGAAGCACATGTTGACTCACACTGGAGAGAGACCCTACAGTTGCGACTGTTTCATAATCCTTGTTCAGGTAACTTGAAGAAGCACATGTTGACTCACACTGGAGAGAGACCCTACAGTTGCGACTGTTTCATAATCCTTGTTCAGGTAACTTGAAGAAGCACATGTTGACTCACACTGGAGAGAGACCCTACAGTTGCGACTGTTTCATAATCCTTGTTCAGGTAACCTGAAGAAGCACATGTTGACTCACACTGGAGAGAGACCCTACAGTTGCGACTGTTTCATAATCCTTGTTCAGGTAACTTGAAGAAGCACATGTTGACTCACACTGGAGAGAGACCCTACAGTTGCGACTGTTTCATAATCCTTGTTCAGGTAACTTGAAGAAGCACATGTTGACTCACACTGGAGAGAGACCCTACAGTTGCGACTGTTTCATAATCCTTGTTCAGGTAACTTGAAGAAGCACATGTTGACTCACACTGGAGAGAGACCCTACAGTTGCGACTGTTTCATAATCCTTGTTCAGGTAACCTTGAAGAAGCACATGTTGACTCACACTGGAGAGAGACCCTACAGTTGCGACTGTTTCATAATCCTTGTTCAGGTAACCTGAAGAAGCACATGTTGACTCACACTGGAGAGAGACCCTACAGTTGCGACTGTAGTTTCATAATCCTTGTTCAGGTAACTTGAAGAAGCACATGTTGACTCACACTGGAGAGAGACCCTACAGTTGCGACTGTTTCATAATCCTTGTTCAGGTAACCTGAAGAAGCACATGTTGACTCACACTGGAGAGAGACCCTACAGTTGCGACTGTTTCATAATCCTTGTTCAGGTAACCTGAAGAAGCACATGTTGACTCACACTGGAGAGAGACCCTACAGTTGCGACTGTTTCATAATCCTTGTTCAGGTAACTTGAAGAAGCACATGTTGACTCACACTGGAGAGAGACCCTACAGTTGCGACTGTTTCATAATCCTTGTTCAGGTAACTTGAAGAAGCACATGTTGACTCACACTGGAGAGAGACCCTACAGTTGCGACTGTTTCATAATCCTTGTTCAGGTAACCCGAAGAAGCACATGTTGACTCACACTGGAGAGAGACCCTACAGTTGCGACTGTTTCATAATCCTTGTTCAGGTAACCTGAAGAAGCACATGTTGACTCACACTGGAGAGAGACCCTACAGTTGCGACTGTTTCATAATCCTTGTTCAGGTAACCTGAAGAAGCACATGTTGACTCACACTGGAGAGAGACCCTACAGTTGCGACTGTTTCATAATCCTTGTTCAGGTAACTTGAAGAAGCACATGTTGACTCACACTGGAGAGAGACCCTACAGTTGCGACTGTTTCATAATCCTTGTTCAGGTAACCTGAAGAAGCACATGTTGACTCACACTGGAGAGAGACCCTACAGTTGCGACTGTTTCATAATCCTTGTTCAGGTAACCTGAAGAAGCACATGTTGACTCACACTGGAGAGAGACCCTACAGTTGCGAGTGTTTCATAATCCTTGTTCAGGTAACTTGAAGAAGCACATGTTGACTCACACTGGAGAGAGACCCTACAGTTGCGACTGAATAATCCTTGTTCAGGTAACCTGAAGAAGCACATGTTGACTCACACTGGAGAGAGACCCTACAGTTGCGACTATAATCCTTGTTCAGGTAACTTGAAGAAGCACATGTTGACTCACACTGGAGAGAGACCCTACAGTTGCGACTGTTCATAATCCTTGTTCAGGTAACCTGAAGAAGCACATGTTGACTCACACTGGAGAGAGACCCTACAGTTGCGACTGTTTCATAATCCTTGTTCAGGTAACCTGAAGAAGCACATGTTGACTCACACTGGAGAGAGACCCTACAGTTGCGACTGTTCATAATCCTTGTTCAGGTAACTTGAAGAAGCACATGTTGACTCACACTGGAGAGAGACCCTACAGTTGCGACTGAATAATCCTTGTTCAGGTAACCTGAAGAAGCACATGTTGACTCACACTGGAGAGAGACCCTACAGTTGCGACTAATAATCCTTGTTCAGGTAACCTTGAAGAAGCACATGCTGACTCACACTGGAGAGAGACCCTACAGTTGCGACTAATAATCCTTGTTCAGGTAACCTGAAGAAGCACATGTTGACTCACACTGGAGAGAGACCCTACAGTTGCGACTGTTTCATAATCCTTGTTCAGGTAACCTGAAGAAGCACATGTTGACTCACACTGGAGAGAGACCCTACAGTTGCGACTGTTTCATAATCCTTGTTCAGGTAACCTGAAGAAGCACATGTTGACTCACACTGGAGAGAGACCCTACAGTTGCGACTGTTTCATAATCCTTGTTCAGGTAACTTGAAGAAGCACATGTTGACTCACACTGGAGAGAGACCCTACAGTTGCGACTGTTTCATAATCCTTGTTCAGGTAACCTGAAGAAGCACATGTTGACTCACACTGGAGAGAGACCCTACAGTTGCGACTGTAATATAATCCTTGTTCAGGTAACCTGAAGAAGCACATGTTGACTCACACTGGAGAGAGACCCTACAGTTGCGACTGAATAATCCTTGTTCAGGTAACTTGAAGAAGCACATGTTGACTCACACTGGAGAGAGACCCTACAGTTGCGACTGAATAATCCTTGTTCAGGTAACTTGAAGAAGCACATGTTGACTCACACTGGAGAGAGACCCTACAGTTGCGACTGAATAATCCTTGTTCAGGTAACTTGAAGAAGCACATGTTGACTCACACTGGAGAGAGACCCTACAGTTGCGACTGTTTCATAATCCTTGTTCAGGTAACCTGAAGAAGCACATGTTGACTCACACTGGAGAGAGACCCTACAGTTGCGACTGAATAATCCTTGTTCAGGTAACTTGAAGAAGCACATGTTGACTCACACTGGAGAGAGACCCTACAGTTGCGACTGAATAATCCTTGTTCAGGTAACTTGAAGAAGCACATGTTGACTCACACTGGAGAGAGACCCTACAGTTGCGACTGTTTCATAATCCTTGTTCAGGTAACCTGAAGAAGCACATGCTGACTCACACTGGAGAGAGACCCTACAGTTGCGACTGAATAATCCTTGTTCAGGTAACCTGAAGAAGCACATGTTGACTCACACTGGAGAGAGACCCTACAGTTGCGACTGTTTCATAATCCTTGTTCAGGTAACCTGAAGAAGCACATGTTGACTCACACTGGAGAGAGACCCTACAGTTGCGACTGAATAATCCTTGTTCAGGTAACCTGAAGAAGCACATGTTGACTCACACTGGAGAGAGACCCTACAGTTGCGACTGAATAATCCTTGTTCAGGTAACTTGAAGAAGCACATGCTGACTCACACTGGAGAGAGACCCTACAGTTGCGACTGGCCTGGATGTGGCAAGAGCTTTTCTCAGGTTAGCTACACTAGCTGCAGGGTACCCGTCCTCCGGACGACAATGATTCTTTACTTTTTTACATACTTTTACTGACACCATGACGTTTTGTCAGTAAAATGGTGCAGATATACTATATAGTATATACTATATTGTTTTGCTTTATATGTCTAAAATATTCGAATTTTCAAATTTTGACGACGGAATTCTCGAACCAGTAAGTACAGTATGCCATCTACAAAGCAACAGCTCTCAAATATAAAACACGGCGGAGCTATTTAGGCCAACGTATGGGTACTGACTTTTGGCCCACCCTGTAGTAACTAGTAAGATTGATATTTTGGGATTTTGCACTAATATCATTTTTTGAGCCTTTTTAGCTTTTTGAGATCAGCTTATACATAAAATCCTTATTGGCAATGTTTTTAAAGAAGCAATAATCTATTCGTTTTTAATTAAGACCATGCAAATTCCATATGAATTATAGCTCATCCCTATTGCGCAGCTGCATGTGCTTTGAGATCAGCACTTAAAATTGGGTCTTGTAAACTGTAGACATCAACTTTACGATCAGGAGCCTTTAATTGCAGTGCCTCTTAAGATTACTACAGTGATTATTATTTACAAGTTATTTACCGTGCACGCTTCTTCATTCCAGAAATCATTTGTCATTGTCGAAGTGCAGGTGCTGTGATTCATTATATCATTTCCAAGATTTATAATAAGAGCACGTGCTGTCTAGAAAAGCGAACAATTTATTGCGGCGTTGCATGTGAGCTATCATATATTGCACTCCGCGTATTAATTCATCTCCGCGCTAATGACCATAAAACATGGTCCAGGTCACAGCCCATGACAGGTGTGACACCTTTAATTGTGCTACTTAATGTTAAACTACAACAAATGCTGAACTACAACAAGTGCTAAACTACAACAAATGCTGAAATACAACAAGTGCTGAACTACAACAAATGCTGAACTACAACAAATGCTAAACTACAACAAATGCTAAACTACAACAAATGCTTAAGTTAAACTTCAACAAGTGCTATAAACTCTAAATTGCAGCTAAATCTTATGTAATCTCACGCAAAGTTTACTGCTGTTCAAAACATTAACCCATAAAAATATTAGTCCACAATTCTACCTCCATACTGATTTGACACAAAGTAGAGTTACGGTTTAAAATTTAGCTTAACACTAGACATTAAAAGTACAACAAGCCCTAGCGACAGAACGCGATCTTGTACGACTAATCAATACGTAGCAGCTTTCAAAACAGTCAGACATAACAATATAAGCCTGTGAGCCTGTCTATAGCTTTTGTTTAGTTAAGTTGATTAGTTAATTAGTTTATTGATTAATTAATTAGTTAAAGCTGCTGCTCTGATACTGGAACAAATGTTGCTAACCTTGAAAAGATTGGTGAGCAACGCTTAACAAACGATACTTTCAGGTAGGAAATCTGAACACACACAAGCACACCCACACGGGTAAGCGACCCTACAAGTGCACACTGTGTCCTAAAGCTTACAACCAGTCCACCGCTCTTAAACGTCACGTCAGGTCAGAAAACGTTAAATCTGTTGTAATATAGCAGTGAGAGAACGTTAAATCTGTTGTAATATAGCAGTGAGAGAACGTTAAATCTGTTGTAATATAGCAGTGAGAGAACGTTAAATCTGTTGTAATATAGCAGTGAGAGAACGTTAAATCCGTTGTAATATAGCAGTGAGAGAACGTTAAATTCGCTATAAAATTATAGTTGTATAGTAGTAGGAGAACCTTGTACTTCTACTATCATAATAGTGGCTATGGAATAAATAATCTTTTATGTGCTTGTCACTTGTCTTTGTTTGTGCTTTTGTCGTTCCGTTCATTCAGATTAGAAGAAGAGTACTTAGTTAGATCCTCTTCTAAAGGACCTTAAGTAGGGGTCCTCCGAAGACCCTACAGGTATCTGTTATGCCCATTAAAAAGATAATCTCCTCATAATTGTAACCGCATGATATCACATGCAGGTCCCACACCGGAGAAAAGCCCTTCAGTTGTGTGCACTGCTGTAAACGGTTCAGCAACTCCTCGCATCTTAAGGTGAGCCCGACATTTTACTCAATACTCCACAGCCTGGATTATAATTTGATGTGATTTTAAAATCAACAAAACGTTTGACTTGTACTACATATATTTTACAAGTCCTTGATTATTTTCAAATCTGATATTTTTCATTAGATATGGTTCATTTTTAGAGCATGACTGATCTATTACATACTATTATTCATTAATAGTTTTTAACTGTTGGACAGAGAGAAGTTGTAATCGGAATTTTTTACGTGATGTGAAAATCATGATTAAATCAGCTCCTGAAAAATAAAATTAGCTAATTAATTTCTTCAATTTATATTGACGGGAGGATAGTAGTAGTACTAGGATGAGTTCAACTATCGAACAAAGGTCTCCGATCTTGAGCACGTGTGAGCTGACATCACATCGTACGTGTTCTGACATGTCAATGAGCAGGAAATGCATGAGTAGATTAGTCAACCAAACACCACTTTTACACAAAACCCAGCACGTGCTGAGCTGAACTGATCCCATAAAACATCCCAATTAAGTGCTCTACACCTGCGATATCATGCTGAACAAGGGTTAAGAGGTTCAGACGGAACAACACGTCTCCCTGCCACGTGTTAGTGTTACCACGTGCAATCACTGGATCGTTAGTGCTCAAGAAACCCCGATATTAGCACGTGCACGTTATACTAGCACGTGTCTGGCATGTGTCTGATGACTCATATTGTTCTTTTTGGACCTTATCTCATTAAGTTTTCTTGCTACACGTTGTATAATACCTCTCGTGCACGCGAAGCGCGCTCAAAAGGGGTTGCAGCGTGTGTCAAAAGTTTTCTGACATTTGAAATACCTTATCGAACCTTATTTAATTTGGACGGACATTACTTGAACGCTGGAGGCCCTAACGTTCATCTTAATGTCCGTTCGAATAAAGTCCGTTCATTTAAGGTCCGTCCAAGTTAAAGTCCGTTGAATTTTTTTCAACAATTTTTCCACTTCGAACTTTTTGTCCAGAATATGCATATTCTGGACAAAAAGTTCGAAGTTCTCCTTGGTATTCCGGGGGCACAGAAAATTTTAATAGTATATGATGTTTTCAAGGGTCACTTGGCAGAAAAAGTCAACGAAATTATGGCACTCAACAATTCATAGCTCATGAGCTATATAATAGTCCCCGCCAACATGACAAACTTGTTCCAGCCTCTAGATATTACGGTAAATCGTGTTGCCAAGGTCATTGTTCGACGTTGTTATCAGTTATAGTAGAGTAGTAGGTAGTGCATGCGCCATCGATGAATTTCGTCAAATTACGTGTCTTCTACATGACACCTACTTTTGCTCCAAAAGCCGCGCACCATCAAATATGGTACTTAGGCGAAACTCACTGATCATTCCTAAAAGGTATAACAAATTTGGTACTGAATTCTCACAGTCTCTAGAAAACAATGGTACAGCAATTTTGAAAATAAGAGCAAGTTTATTTTATCGTGCACCCCCCACAGGAGGGGCTAAGTGCAAAGAAACTGCTGCTCACTGCTGCTCACTGCTGCTCACTGCCGCTCACTGCTGCTCACTGCTGCTCACTGCTGCTCACTGCTGCTCACTGCTGCTCACTGCTGCTCACTGCTGCTCACTGCTGCTATGGGCGCGCGCGACAGCAGCAGTGAGCAGCAGTGAGCAGCAGTGAGCAGCAGTAAGTAGCAGTGAGCAGCAGTGAGCAGCAGTGAGCAGCAGTGAGCAGCAGTTAGTAGCAGTGCGCAGCAGTGCGCAGCAGTTAGCAGCAGTTTCTTTGCACTTAGCTCCTCCTGTGCCCCTAGTTATAATTCATATTACTCAGGGGAGGTTATGAAACACTAAACTAAAACAGTAAACAGTGCAGGGTAGTTTGATTTAAAAAAAAGATTTCCATAAAGCTAAAAATCACTGATGCTTTAAGCATGGACTTTTTCATGCACGAAAACCCATTTGATAAAGATCTCTTACTTACTGATGAAGATTTCTTATTTACTGTATAAAAAAAGGGTTTAAAAATCATTTGCGGAAATAAAAAAACGTTAAAAAAAAAGAAAAAATTCGGATTTTCGATGGTTTTGAATGCCTTCTAGCGTTCATATTAATGTCTGTTCATAATTATGTCCGTTCATTTAATGTCCGTCCAAATAAGGTCCGATAAGGTATATTAATATCATAATTCAGATTGGTTGGACCATGGTTCAGGGACATTTTAAAAACTATGCAAAGACAAAAGAGGGCCCTGTAGATTATAAGCAAATAATTTAATAAACAAAATTCCAGCTAGATTACTAACTCCTGACAGGTTCGTTACAACTACAAGTTTTGTACCTGTCCAGTTCCACGCAGATATATTCGGGTTTAGTAAAAATTATCGGAATGACCGGATTTGTGTCATTTTGTCCATTTCCCGGAATTTTATAGCATATATTATATACCTGCTGGTAAATTCCCGACCAATATTTAAACATTTGCAAACTTTACAGGCGCATCTAAGGGTACACACAGGAGAGCGACCCTACACCTGCGTTACATGTGGCAAGAAGTTCTCACAACACTCCGGACTTCATGGTCACCTCAAGACCCACATCCGACCTGAGCCTCTTGCAGCTATCTCTGTGGCGGTACGTGCACCCCCAACTCCACACCCCACACCCCACACCCCACACCCCACACCCCACACCCCACACCCCACACCCCACACCCCACACCCCACACCCCACACCCCACACCCCACACCCCACACCCCACACCCCACACCCCACACCCCACACCCCACACCCCACACCCCACACCCCACACCCCACACCCCACACCCCACACCCCACACCCCACACCCCACACCCCACACCCCACACCCCACACCCCACACCCCACACCCCACACCCCACACCCCACACCCCACACCCCACACCCCACACCCCACACCCCACACCCCACACCCCCCACCCCACACCCCACACCCCACACCCCACACCCCACACCCCACACCCCACACCCCACACCCCACACCCCACACCCCACACCCCCCCCCCCCCCCCCCCCCCCCCCCCCCCCCCCCCCCACCCCCCCCCCCCCCCCCCCCCCCCCCCACCCCCCCCCCCCCCCCCCCCCCCCCCCCCCCCACCCCCCCCCCCCCCCCCCCCCACCCCCCCCCCCCCCCCCCCCCCCCCCCCCCACCCCCCCCCCCCCCCCCCCCCCCCCCCCCCACCCCCCCCCCCCCCCCCCCCCCCCCCCCCCCCCCCCCCCCCCCCCCCCCCCACCCCCCCCCCCCCCCCCCACCCCCCCCCCCCCCCCCCCCCCCCCCCCCCCCCCCCACCCCCCCCCCCCCCCCCCACCCCCCCCCCCCCCCCACCCCCCCCCCCCCCCCCCCCCCCACCCCCCCCCCCCCCCCCCCCCCCCCCCCCCCCCCCCCCCCACCCCCCCCCCCCCCCCACCCCCCCCCCCCCCCCCCACCCCCCACCCCCCCACCCCCCCACCCCCCACCCCCCCCCCCACCCCCCCCCCCCACCCCCCCCCCCCCCCCACCCCACACCCCACACCCCAACACACCCACCACCCCCACCCCCACACCCCCATATAACAATATAACATTTGTATAATTTTCAGGCGCAGCACCTGATGAATATGAACAGCAGCAAACTGTGTACTACTATCCACAGTTACATCGTTAGCATGAGCCTTATGGCCATGTTCATAGCTGCTGGCGATCTTCATGACTCAACAAAAAAACTTTAGTTAGCTAGCTGCACCCGATCTTCATGACTCAACCAAAAAAGAAAAAGATAGATGCTGGTGATATCCAAAACTTCCAAAAAGAAAAAGAGCTAGGGCCTAGGACTAGAAGATACTGCAACTGCAGTTATATTTTTATTTTTGGAGAGTTGAGAGATGCTTTGCCTTACCTGGCCTGGCACACCAATCCCAATGTGCCGTGCTCTTTTAGTTCTCGAGCTTCTCGCATTGAGAGGAGCGAGCAATAGACTACCAGTTGCAAGCTAAGTAATGCTTTACCTGGATCATGGCCCACAAGAATATATGATATATTAATAAAGTCTATGTAATAAGCGCCATAAGTTGGCACAGAATTTGTTTCCTCCGATTTTGATAAATTCGTTAGATCGGCGAGATGCACCTTCATGGGCCACGCCGAACTGCGAAGGATTGACATCGTCAATTGACATCTTGTGTAAGACAATTGCAAATATTTAATTAATTGCTCTGCTCATGCCATGCATGTGTCGTGGTCAGAGCGGTTTCTAAATATAATATCTAAATTTTATTCAGTGCGTAAATTAATTTTACATTTAGTTTAAGTTTACCAATACCACTACCAGTATAGATGATATATTTGGTTTCATTGCCATGCAGTCTGACAATATATATTATGTTAGATTATTTATTTGACCAAAACGCAGAATTAGGCAGAGAGGACCGCTGCCAGTGTCTCTATTTCCCAAACAAAAGTAAATGACATTAGTTTAAATTCACGGCTTACGAATTGCAATGAGTTTCGATTAATTACATCAATCAAATGATGTATTAATCTCTTTGGGTTGCTTTTGGGTCGATACCTCGTATTTTGGGATAAGGGCGGTTTATATAGTTACTTAGCTAGACTTAGTAACCAATTAGCTGATGTCACTAAACATGATTTAAACTTTAAGGCACCTGAATATGGCGATTTTGGGTTTTTTACCGAATTTCGTACAACAGTGCTCATGGCGCGTATTTTGCGCAAATTTCTTAAAAACCTCCACATAACTATTTCTTAATCCCTTCATCTTTGACATTGAATTAAAATGTTTTGAACTTAAAATATGCCTGCTGAACGACTTTCGTTGAGTCTTAATGCCTGAAAAAACAGTCAAGGGTACGGTATAATAGTATAAGGGGTGAATAGTATAGCTGTGTATATAGTGAGTATAATAATGGCGGCCGTCGTGCCTGTATTGCCGCAGCACTGTGATTTTAAAAATGATGTATTGATAATTTATAATTCATGATAACATTATTCACCATTTTACTTTTAATGTGATTTTAGAATTGCACAAAAAATCTAAATCAATTTGCAAAGATATAATAAAATTGTATTGAAATGTATCCAAAAAATTAGTCAATAGAAATTGTTGAATTCATGAATCCTGATATTGCCTCTTTTCACACACAAAACAGCTATAAACATACCGCGTTAAGATTAAGACGAAAATTATAATGTTAAAAATTCGGTTATAAAAACTATATTCCACAAATTAAAAAAACATAAACGATTGCGCTGGTGCTTCATTACTTTTTTCCCCTCGTGGCTACTATTACTAAAAAGTTAAACGGGACAAGGACCAATGAAAATCGTCCAATTACCCTAATTAACACATTCTTCACATCTCCTCTGACTGAAACTCACCCCCAATACCATACTCCGCGCTGAACCAGTCAAGCTTGTCAGAGGTGGTTGCAAAGAACCTGAACTTGACCTGCTCTACATGCTCTAACATCTGGCTCCACTTGGTGGTCATATCAGCTGTACATTGCCGCTCCAGGCTCATGGTCCTCTTCATTGGTTCCAATAAACTGAATAGGTCTGTAGCTCCTGGTCCCATTCTCAGCACGTGATCAAAACTGTCGAGTTGTCGGAGAATTGGGCTGATTCTGCGGCTCTCGCATTGGTTCTTCCAGTTACGATACAGCCTGAGTCGCTCCCGACTAGTGGTAGTGAGAGACCCATCATCACTGACAACAATGGTGTATTTGTGCACCATGGCGGCTAGTGAGCCGGACGCATCCATAAGGTCCACGGCTACCGAAACGGAGAGAGTGGCGGGTGACGGCGAGCCCGACGTGTTGAACCGGATGAAGATGTCCGGAATCTTTTCCGGAGATGCGTTAACCTTCTTTGAACGGAATGAGTAAGAGGCCTTGGCTGGCATGGGAATGTTGATCCATTCGATGGCTGAAAGGAATGTGTTGTCAAATTTTGTAAAGGTTTTGTTTTCACATTACAATGACAAATTAGCCAAGATTGAAATTATTTTTTACTGAGTTATGCTCATTGACATTAGTCTTTGAAAATAAATATTATCTAGTATTGTTCAGTGAAGTCAAACATAAATTAAATAATCACAAGTACTTAAATTACAATAAAACTGAACCAACCGTTTGATTCTGTAGGTTCTTCAACATCTGCTTGTTCGGTAGGTTCCTTTAAATCATCCAGTCCAACTTCTTCAGTAGTTTCTTCGTCTCTCGTAGTATCTTCTTCAGATTCTGGAAAATGGAATATTTCTTTAAATTAATAATTTCATTTTACACTCTCTTGAGTGAATCGATCATGATTGATTACTGAGGTCGAAATGAGAAACTATTTATAGAGAGTAGACACTCTCATTTCGTCCTCAGTAATTTATTTCTTTAAAAATTTAAATAAGCGTGACTGTTTAAATGTTTCGTATCAAAACTTGAATGATGGTAAAGGTATTTAATTTTATTAGAAACGACGGAAAGGTGGACAAAATTCAATCAAATTATTTCATATTATTTAAGCTTCTAGTTTCGGGTTAGCCTGTAGCAGGCAACGCCCGATACTAATGCTTCTACAGACCTACACAAGTACAGGAAAGTAGGTAAATATTTCATGCTAGGCATGTACCACCCATTACGGTAACCATCCATTGAAGTTTTTACTTTTCGCTGAACTACATTGAACAGCTACCCATTTAACCCTCACACACGATTTCTCAAGCATTCGGCTAGGTGGACCGGGAGGCTGCATAGATCATACGGGATCCTTAGCAGAACGTCGACTACGCTCACCCCACGACCAAGCAGACAGCGGGATTCGAACTCGCAATCTCACGATTGCAAAGCTTGTGCTCTAACAGAGGCACATATTAGGTGCGATGGGTGCGGGATCGCACAATTTACCATTTTCCGCACATGTCCGCATAATTTATTGTTTTCCGCACATGTCCGCACATTTTGTAATTTTCTGTATATTTCCGCATAATCTAGCATTTTCCGCGTAATTTCGCATAATTTTGAAATTTTCGCGTTAAGATTTTTGAGTGTAAAAACCAAAATATGTTATAGTCGGGCCCTTTTAGGACCGTGACTCAGGCCCTTTCGGGACCCTGACCCAGGCCCTTTTAGGACCGTGACTCAGGCCCTTTCGGGACCCTGACCCAGGCCCTTTTAGGACCGTGATTCAGGCCCTTTCGGGACCGTGACCCAGGCCCTTTTGGAACTCATACCTAGGCCACGTGACCCAGTTACCACGTGACACAGGCCCTTTCGGGACCCTGACCCAGGCCCTTTCGGGACCGTGACCCAGGCCCTTTTGGAACTCATGCCTAGGCCACGTGACCCAGTTACCACGTGACACAGGCCCTTTCGGGACCCTGACCCAGGCCCTTTCGGGACCGTGACCCAGGCCCTTTCGGGACCGTTACCCAGGCCCTTTTGGGACCGTGACCCAGGCCCTTTCGGGACCGTTACCCAGGCCCTTTCGGGACCGTGATCCAGGCCCTTTCGGACCGTGACCCAGGCCCTTTCGGGACCGTGACCCAGGCAGTTATGAAACCCTCGTCGTTACCATACTTTGATTATAGTTTATCAGTTATCATTCGTAACTTCACCACATCATCTGATTACTCTAAGTCACTGTTCTCAGATATAAACTGAATCTTAATATAGGTTCAATCATGGTCTTAGTAAAGAACTACACCCTCAGTAACACATAAACAGACCTATTTTTGATAAGAGCGGCGGTTATACGTTTACAATTTCCAAAGTCCTTGAGAAAATGCAAAAGAAAACCGCACAATTCCCGCACAAATTTCGAAAAAATCGCCGCACATTTGCCGCATTATTGGTAAAAATTTACCGCAACTTACCGCACATTTTACCTTTATAGTCGGGTGCGGTACCGCATAATTTCGATTTTTTTACCGCACCTAATATGTGCCTCTGTCAGCTCTAACCGACTGCGCTATCTGGCCAAATTATTTCAAATTATTTCAAAGGAAATTTTGTTCAACAAAATATCCGGATATATGAGCATAATATGGTATTGCAGAAAATTGCAATAAATGACGTAAATATAAATACATTTGATAAACGACGCGATGAAACGACGCGATAAACGACGCGATGAAAATTAAAACTAACCTTGATCTATATCATCGCTGTCATTTACTGTTTCGTTATTCAATTCCTCGTCTTCTACAGCTGCTTCATCTTCAACTGCCAAATCATCTTCTACAGCTGCTTCATCTTCTACTGCCGCTTCATCTTCTACTGCTGAGTCGTCCTCTACAGCTGCTTCATCTTCTACTGCTGAGTCATCTTCTACTGCTGCTTCATCTTCTACTGCTGAGTCATCTTCTACAGCTGCTTCATCTTCAACCGCCGAATCATCTTCTACAGCTGCTTCATCTTCTACTGCTGAGTCGTCTTCTACTGTTGCTTCATCTTCTACTGCTGAGTCATCTTCTACAGCTGCTTCATCTTCTACTGCTGAATCGTCCTCTACAGCTGCTTCATCTTCAACCGCCGAATCATCTTCTACTGCTGCTTCATCTTCTACTGCTGCTTCATCTTCAGCTGCCGAATCATCTTCTACTGCAGCTGCTTCATCTTCAGCTGCCGCGTCGTCTTCTACAGCTGCTTCATCTTCAGCTGCCGAAACATCTTCTACAGCTGCTTCATCTTCTACTGCTGAGTCATCCTCTACAGCTGCTTCATCTTCTACTGCTGAGTCATCTCCTACAGCTGCTTCATCTCCATCTGCTGAGTCGTCCTCTACGGCTGTTTCATCTTCAGCTGCCGAATCATCTTCTACAGCTGCTTCATCTTCTGCTGCTGAGTTGTCCTCTACAGCTGCTTCATCTTCTACTGCTGAGTCATCTTCTACAGCTGCTTCATCTTCTACTGCTGAGTCATCTTCTACAACTGCTTCATCTTCTACTGCTGAGTCGTCCTCTACAGCTGCATCATCTTCTACTGCTGAGTCATCTTCTACAGCTGCTTCATCTTCTACTGCTGCATCGTCCTCTACAGCTGCTTCATCTTCAACCGCCGAATCATCTTCTACTGCTGCTTCATCTTCTACTGCTGCTTCATCTTCAGCTGCCGAATCATCTTCTACTGCAGCTGCTTCATCTCGAGCTGCCGAGTCGTCTTCTACAGCTGCTTCATCTTCCGCTGCCGAATCATCTTCTACAGCTGCTTCATCTTCAGCTGCCGCATCATCTTCTACAGCTGCTTCATCTTCTACTGCTGAGTCGTCTTCTACAGCTGCTTCATCTTCTACTGCTGAGTTGTCTTCTACAGCTGCTTCATCTTCAGCTGCCGAATCATCTTCTACAGCTGCTTCATCTTCTACTGCTGAGTTGTCTTCTACAGCTGCATCATCTTCTACTGCTGAGTTGTCTTCTACAGCTGCTTCATCTTCAGCTGCCGAATCATCTTCTACAGCTGCTTCATCTTCAACCGCCGAATCATCTTCTACTGCTGCTTCATCTTCTAGTGCTGAGTCGTCTTCTACAGCTGCTTCATCTTCTACTGCTGAGTCGTCTTCTACAGCTGCTTCATCTTCTACTGCCGAATCATCTTCTACAGCTGCTTCATCTTCTACTGCTGAGTCGTCCTCTACAGCTGCATCATCTTCTACTGCTGAGTCATCTTCTACAGCTGCTTCATCTTCTACTGCTGAATCGTCCTCTACAGCTGCTTCATCTTCAACCGCCGAATCATCTTCTACTGCTGCTTCATCTTCTACTGCCGAATCATCTTCTACAGCTGCTTCATCTTCTACTGCTGAGTCGTCTTCTACAGCTGCATCATCTTCTACTGCTGAGTCATCTTCTACAGCTGCTTCATCTTCTACTGCTGAATCGTCCTCTACAGCTGCTTCATCTTCAACCGCCGAATCATCTTCTACTGCTGCTTCATCTTCTACTGCCGAATCATCTTCTACAGCTGCTTCATCTTCTACTGCTGAGTCGTCTTCTACAGCTGCTTCATCTTCTACTGCTGCATCGTCCTCTACAGCTGCTTCATCTTCAACCGCCGAATCATCTTCTACTGCTGCTTCGTCTTCTACAGCTGCTTCATCTTCCGCTGCCGAATCATCTTCTACAGCTGCTTCATCTTCAGCTGCCGCATCATCTTCTACAGCTGCTTCATCTTCTACTGCTGAGTCGTCTTCTACAGCTGCTTCATCTTCTACTGCTGAGTTGTCTTCTACAGCTGCTTCATCTTCAGCTGCCGAATCATCTTCTACAGCTGCTTCATCTTCTACTGCTGAGTTGTCTTCTACAGCTGCATCATCTTCTACTGCTGAGTTGTCTTCTACAGCTGCTTCATCTTCAGCTGCCGAATCATCTTCTACAGCTGCTTCATCTTCAACCGCCGAATCATCTTCTACTGCTGCTTCATCTTCTAGTGCTGAGTCGTCTTCTACAGCTGCTTCATCTTCTACTGCTGAGTCGTCTTCTACAGCTGCTTCATCTTCTACTGCCGAATCATCTTCTACAGCTGCTTCATCTTCTACTGCTGAGTCGTCCTCTACAGCTGCATCATCTTCTACTGCTGAGTCATCTTCTACAGCTGCTTCATCTTCTACTGCTGAATCGTCCTCTACAGCTGCTTCATCTTCAACCGCCGAATCATCTTCTACTGCTGCTTCATCTTCTACTGCCGAATCATCTTCTACAGCTGCATCGTCCTCTACAGCTGCTTCATCTTCAACCGCCGAATCATCTTCTACTGCTGAGTCATCTTCTACAGCTGCTTCATCTTCAACCGCCGAATCATCTTCTACTGCTGCTTCATCTTCTACTGCCGAATCATCTTCTACAGCTGCTTCATCTTCTACTGCCGAATCATCTTCGACTGCTGCTTCATCTTCTACTGCTGAGTCATCTTCTACAGTTACTTCTTTTTCTACTGCTGAGTCGTCCTCTACAGCTGCTTTATCTTCTACTGCCGCATCATCTTCTACTGCTGCTTCATCTTCTACTGCTGAGTCATCTTCTACAGCTGCTTCATCTTCAACCGCCGAATCATCTTCTACTGCTGCTTCATCTTCTACTGCCGAATCATCTTCTACAGCTGCTTCATCTTCAGCTGCTGCTTCATCTTCTACTGCTGAGTCATCTTCTACAGTTGCTTCGTTTTCTACTGCTGAGTCGTCCTCTACAGCTGCTTCATCTTCTACCGCCAAATCATCTTCTACTGCTGCTTCATCTTCAGCTGCCGAATCATCTTCTACAGCTGCTTCATCTTCAACCGCCGAATCATCTTCTACTGCTGAGTCGTCCTCTACAGCTGCTTCATCTTCTACTGCCAAATCATCTTCTACTGCTACTTCATCTTCTACTGCTGAATCATCTTCTACAGCTGCTTCATCTTCTACTGCTACTTCATCTTCTACTGCTACTTCATCTTCTACTGCTGCTTCATCTTCTACTGCTGAGTCATCTCCTACAGCTGCTTCATCTCCTACTGCTGAGTCGTCCTCTACAGCTGTTTCATCTTCAGCTGCCGAATCATCTTCTACAGCTGCTTCATCTTCTGCTGCTGAGTTGTCCTCTACAGCTGCTTCATCCTCTACTGCTGAGTCATCTTCTACAGCTGCTTCATCTTCTACTGCTGAGTCATCTTCTACAACTGCTTCATCTTCTACTGCTGAGTCGTCCTCTACAGCTGCATCATCTTCTACTGCTGAGTCATCTTCTACAGCTGCTTCATCTTCTACTGCTGCATCGTCCTCTACAGCTGCTTCATCTTCAACTGCCGAATCATCTTCTACTGCTGCTTCATCTTCTACTGCTGCTTCATCTTCAGCTGCCGAATCATCTTCTACTGCAGCTGCTTCATCTCGAGCTGCCGAGTCGTCTTCTACAGCTGCTTCATCTTCCGCTGCCGAATCATCTTCTACAGCTGCTTCATCTTCAGCTGCCGCATCATCTTCTACAGCTGCTTCATCTTCTACTGCTGAGTCATCTTCTACAGCTGCTTCATCTTCTACTGCTGAGTCGTCTTCTACAGCTGCTTCATCTTCTACTGCTGAGTTGTCTTCTACAGCTGCTTCATCTTCAGCTGCCGAATCATCTTCTACAGCTGCTTCATCTTCTACTGCTGAGTTGTCTTCTACAGCTGCTTCATCTTCTACTGCTGAGTTGTCTTCTACAGCTGCTTCATCTTCAGCTGCCGAATCATCTTCTACAGCTGCTTCATCTTCTACTGTTGAGTCATCTTCTACAGCTGCTTCATCTTCTACTGCTGAGTCGTCTTCTACAGCTGCTTCATCTTCTACTGCCGAATCATCTTCTACAGCTGCTTCATCTTCTACTGCTGAGTCGTCCTCTACAGCTGCATCATCTTCTACTGCTGATTCATCTTCTACAGCTGCTTCATCTTCTACTGCTGAATCGTCCTCTACAGCTGCTTCATCTTCAACCGCCGAATCATCTTCTACTGCTGCTTCATCTTCTATTGCCGAATCATCTTCTACAGCTGCTTCATCTTCAGCTGCCGAATCGTCTTCTACTGCTGCTTCATCTTCTACTGCTGAGTTATCTTCTACAGCTGCTTCATCTTCAACCGCCGAATCATCTTCTACTGCTGCTTCATCTTCTACTGCCGAATCATCTTCTACAGCTGCTTCATCTTCTACTGCCGAATCATCTTCGACTGCTGCTTCATCTTCTACTGCTGAGTCATCTTCTACAGTTACTTCTTTTTCTACTGCTGAGTCGTCCTCTACAGCTGCTTCATCTTCTACTGCCGAATCATCTTCTACTGCTGCTTCATCTTCTACTGCTGAGTCATCTTCTACAGCTGCTTCATCTTCAACCGCCGAATCATCTTCTACTGCTGCTTCATCTTCTACTGCCGAATCATCTTCTACAGCTGCTTCATCTTCAGCTGCTGCTTCATCTTGTACTGCTGAGTCATCTTCTACAGTTGCTTCATTTTCTACTGCTGAGTCGTCCTCTACAGCTGCTTCATCTTCTACCGCCGAATCATCTTCTACTGCTGCTTCATCTTCAGCTGCCGAATCATCTTCTACAGCTGCTTCATCTTCAACCGCCGAATCATCTGCTACTGCTGAGTCGTCCTCTACAGCTGCTTCATCTTCTACTGCCGAATCATCTTCTACAGCTGCTTCATCTTCAACCGACGAATCATCTGCTACTGCTGAGTCGTCCTCTACAGCTGCTTCATCTTCTACTGCCGAATCATCTTCTACTGCTACTTCATCTTCTACTGCTGAGTCATCTTCTACAGTTGCTTCATTTTCTATTGCTGAGTCGTCCTCTACAGCTGCTTCATCTTCTACTGCCGAATCATCTTCTACTGCTGCTTCATCTTCAGCTGCCGGATCATCTTCTACAGCTGCTTCATCTTCAACCACCGAATCATTTTCTACAGCTGCTTCATCTTCAACCGCCGAATCATCTTCTACAGCTGCTTCATCTTCAACCGCTGAATCATCTTCTACAGCTGCTTCATCTTCAACCGCCGAATCATCTTCTACTGCTGCTTCATCTTCAACCGCCGAATCATCTTCTACTGCTGCTTCATCTTCAACCGCCGAATCATCTTCTACTGCTGCTTCATCTTCAACCGCCGAATCATCTTCTACTGCTGCTTCATCTTCTACTGCTGAGTCGTCTTCTACAGCTGCTTCATATTCTACTGCTGAGTCGTCTTCTACAGCTGCTTCATCTTCTACTGCCGAATCATCTTCTACTGCTGCTTCATCTTCTACTGCCGAATCATCTTCATTAATACCAGATGATGCTTCGTCATTTACATTTGAGTTATCTTCTGGTATTACCGCTTGGTCGGGTTTAACTTTTTTAGATTTTGGTCCAACGAGACCCTCTTCACACGAATACACACAACACCGCGCAAGTTTTCCTTCCCACCAATGGCATTGTTGCAGACGTTCTTTCGTCTCTACAAAAGCGGGTGCACTGGAACAGTCATCGAACAGCATGGGAACGTATCCAGTTGCCAAACATTTATCAAACTTATTACTCAGCTTTCGGCACCATCTTGTGTGGTACGGTAAAGCGGTTGATAAGGCGAGGAGCAAAACCCCGAGTAGGATCGTTATTATCTTCATTACTACTGTAAAATAAATTTGTAACTGATGCGCTCAAAAGAATATTTTTAATCTTAGATCAAAAATGTATAGCAAAATTCATCGGATTGGGAATGCAAGGTAACATAAAAGATGGTACAAACACAATCGTCTGGAACAAACATTCAAAATATATAAATAGACTAAAAATAACAATGATTCTTGCATCGCAAATGAAGCGGTATTTTCACTTAGTAATTCCTGATTACTAAAATCTGACGAGTTTTACTGAAATTCCACTACAAATATTGGTGATTTTAGTAGTCTTGAAGATAAAATTTACGGAGTTTTTATTAAAGCATTTTATCTACGTTTCATGCAATTTGATCACTTTTTGCGGAAAAAAAGCAAAAACAAAATTGAAATTTTTGCCTATTGTTAAAAGTATCAAAGTTGTACATTTTACCGATAACCCAGGTCATAAGATATAAGATATCGCTTCAAAAGTTTTTGTGAGTGTAGCTGATGATCATATCCAACTTTTCGGAACCGAATTTTTCTCAATTTTGAGTTTTAAGGTATGAAATTTGGCCTCAAAGGTCTTAGTATTTACAATTTAGTAAAATTCATGTAAAAAAAGGTTCAAAAATGGCAAATATTTTACATGATTGTAATCAGCTTGATGAGACGAAACTTTTAGTTTCTAATTTATAATACGTAAAGACACAAAATTTGTAAAAAAATGTGTACAATTTATACAAAATTTATACAAGGGGGAACTTTCGTGTTCAAGCTAGAAAATTATTTAAAACAACTTTTCTTCTAAAATACCGTAGATTGGGGTAAAATCGCCGTGTCGGGGAACTTCGCCACTATTTTTCAAATAATCATTTTACTGTTTTGAATTGTTAGGAGATCGAGTTTTTGTATAGTATTATGTTGAACAAATGGTTATAAGGGTATTCCTATTCAAAAATAAACGTTTACTATGTTAATTAAACTCAGGCAACATGAAATATTGCTATAAAGTGGCTAAAATTTCCTGCTTGCATATTTCCCATATTTTACAATTATATCCTTAATTAATTCTGTGTGACATCATTAGCATATGTCCTGTTCATTTAAGGGCAAATTTAGTTAGCCATGATGCACACAACTGATATTATAAAGTTTTCAAATTTGTGTATGGCGAAGTTACCCTCTTCTGATCCCATCTGTTCGGCGAAGTTTGGCGCGAAATTCGCGCGCGGCTGGCAAAGTCACGCACGTGTATTGGCGAAGTTCGACTACATTTCTACTTCATCCCGGCGATGTTACCCGCAGCATGGCGATGTTACCCCGGCGACCAAATTGCCCATTGTAACACGCAGGCTAGAGCTAGATAAGTAAAATTTGCAGGTATATCAAGGAAATATAATTGAGTTTCGAGTGGTATGGTGCTTAGCACCGAATATGGTATAGTTTCAGAATGGCGAAGTTACCCCATATTGCAGGGTAACTTCGCCCTGATTTCAGTGGCACCAATCTAGCTGACTATTTATGCCTGGCTGATGTGGTTCATACGAAAACATTTGCTTTACCAATCCTGTTCATATGAGCTATAAACTTTTTCAAGTACTCGTGTCGTATTTTCTAAATAACATGAAATAGCTGTAAAACATGGCGAAGTTCCCCCATTCTACGGTAGTCTATTTGGTATAACTAAAAGTAAATAATGTCCAGTAAAATCAGCCAAAAACCTTCAAAAATTACTAAAATATCGGTCTCACAGTAACTAGGCCGGGGGTGCATGATAAAAATAAACTTGCTCGGATTTTTAAAAATTTTTGTACCACTGTTTTCTAGAGACTGTGAGAATTTTCAAAATACCAAATTTGTCATACCTTTTTGGAAAGATCAGTGAGTTTCGCCTAGGTGCCATATTTGATGGTGCGCGGCTTTTGGCATTTGGAGGAAAAGTAGCTGTAAAAGTTGCATAATTTGACCAAATTTGTTGATTTTTGTATAAATTTTGAATAACAGACTTTACTAAATTGAAAAAAATTCTAAACAGAAAATTTTGTTTTTTTTCGAAAGTGCGTACTCTCAAATGTATCAAATCTTACTTTTGACCATTGTTAATGGTCTCAGGTCTGGCCCGGCGCGCGCTACTTCGTATCATTTGCCATCGGGCCATAATATTTCGAGAAGAAAGCTAAAATAAAGCCATTCAGTGCGGACAAGTTTATAAATGTGCCTATCAAATCATTAAAAAACATTTCGCAACACCCAATCAAGCATTCCTTAGTAACTCAAAGGTAACTTTTATGGCTCAGGAATACGATAATGTAAAAGTAGAACAGCTTGATGATATTACTATGACACCCATTTCCGCCCATATCCTAATTATCTGTTATCAAGACCAACTTAACTTCATCACTGCCTATAAGTTGAGTGTTCTTCTGAGTGTAATTTAGGCGCCGTTATAATGTGGGCTACCCTCAAGCAATCGAATTTCCCTCGATTTGTTTGTATCGTGCTTATCTTTTAGTTTTACTCATTATAGTTACAAATATCGCGTTCCCATGATTCCCATGATTATCACATCGCTTTTATGAAACGTTGATGCGCTCCTCGTTATAAAAATGCGATTGTGACCAATTTTACAGCCAGACCCAAAAAAAAAGCGTAATATAACATGTGCAATATCACAAATAGTTAGTAAGTGTAAGCTGGATGTATTCAGGATTGCACACAGAATATTATCCTCCTCGCCTCCTAATCCCGTGTTCCTCTTTTCTCATATAAAAATATAAAAAAAGGGGGGACCCCCAACTCATATAGCTGAGACACCTCACAGCAAGTAGACCAAAGTGGCTCTTGCCAGTGTGAAAGGTTCATCAACTATCCGCCGAAGCGGTGGGTCCCCTTGAATCATATCGTCCGTCCTGTCTCGTATATCGGTACAACTACAAGATGAACGATAGGAGTGAAAAATAATTAAAGACGGTTTATATAACAACTTTTTCATATTGCCATATTATTATGACAAAGCAATTCGTGGTGCCTTGGCGACATGCAAAGTTGTTCAGCCTCAAAACATTGTGCCCCAAAGCATTCCCAAACAGGGTTAGGCTTAGGGATGAGATTAGTTTATGGGGTACTAAATCCGTGAATTTAGGGATTTCAACTATCGCTTAAGCTCCAGAAATCCCAGAACAGGACGACGTGAACATCCTTGTATCACTTAACCACCAAGGAAATAAAGGCAACTGTATAATATATTAAGATCATTATTGTAACGGTATATTACTATTAGAACCAGACAGAAACAAATTGTGAAGGGCCCCTCGTTCAGGAAATTACAGGCCCAAGTGCGGGTTATACACCGCATTAAAGTGGTCACCATATCAACAGCTCATATTAAACAACAGCTCATACTAAACAAAGGAAATTTCAAGGTTAAAAGTAAGTTGTGGATTTCAGCAAGAGTAACAACTATAACTGTGCACTTCCTGGAACTGGATATCGAACTAAAATCAACATTCCTAACACTGGACAGGCAGGTTCTAGTTCTACACATATTTTTGCAGCGATCGAATCATCCCTTCGGCCTTCACCTGCAAAGCTGCAAGTAATCTAATTTCACGGGATCGCCACTCGCTACAGACTTGGAGGGGAACAGTTCCATTATACAAATGACCGTTTAATCTAATATGAATATTCAACCACCCATATCATTAAAATCATGCTCGCGAATATGCACGTACCAAATACTGCAAATATGATTACAATTCAACAAAATACCAAAAATCCGTTAACCGCGATGTTGGAGGGTATCGTTTACTTTTTACTCAATGATCGGCTTTATTTTTTATCTGATTTTTAATTGGTTGTTACTGGGCGGCACTCAGCCTGTCATTCCGCCGAATCTTGAATTTTTATGTTTATAATAGCTCCCAGGTAAAACTGGTTGATGACATGATGTCGCAACTCTATTTTACTATCACCCAGTGACTAGACAAGAATAACTCTCAAGATCATAGATTTAATCTAATCTGCTGGGGTAATGAGGTAAAAGGATGGGTAATCGAGTTTCGTATATGTGGTCCGGCCCTAAACCTAGCTAAATGTAGTTCCTGCACTGAATCACTTGCGGAGTCCTTATAACTTACTGCAATTTTAATAAACTCATTTACTTGGTGCAGTGATTAATGTTGACATTGTTATAATTGAACACGAGCTCGAATATATTAGCTGATTACACCGTGTTAGGTTTCTCTTACCCCAGGTTATAATGTTCATAAACATAGATAATCTTTATTCCGCCGAATAGGTTTCTTCACAGTCTAGATAGTCTAGATAGTCTAGATAGTCTAGATAGTCAAGATATTCTAGATAGTCTAGATAGTCTAGATATTCTAGATAGTCTAGATATTCTAGATAGTCTAGATAGTCTAGATAGTGTAGATAGTCTAGATAGTCTAGATAGTCTAGATAGTCTAGATAGTCTAGATAGTCTAGATAGTCTAGATAGTCTAAATATTCTAGATAGTCTAGATAATCTAGATATTCTAGGTAGTCTAGATAGTCTAGATAGTCTAGATAGTCTAGATAGTCAAGATATTCTAGGTAGTCTAGATAGTCTAGATAGTCTAGATAGTCTAGATAGTCAAGATAGTCAAGATATTCTAGGTAGTCTAGATAGTCTAGATAGTCTAGATAGTCTAGATAGTCTAGATATTCTAGATAGTCTAGATAGTCTAGATAGTCTAGATAGTCTAGATAGTCTAGATAGTCTAAATATTCTAGATAGTCTAGATAATCTAGATATTCTAGGTAGTCTAGATAGTCTAGATAGTCTAGATAGTCTAGATAGTCTAGATATTCTAGATAGTCTAGATAGTCTAGATAGTCTAGATAGTCTAGATAGTCTAGATAGTCTAAATATTCTAGATAGTCTAGATAATCTAGATATTCTAGGTAGTCTAGGACTCTAGATAGTCTAGATAGTCTAGGTGGTCTAGATAGTCTAGATAGTCTAGATAGTCTAGATAGTCTAGA